GCATTAATAGATATAAGCAAGTTTTTTCAGGGATAATTAAATGGAGTAAAATTAGACATAATAACGAATATAAAAACTCAACAACCTCTCATGAAAAATGTCTGACTACATAAGTGATAACTTTAGATAAGTGCCAAAAGTGTGGTTTTCTGTGTTTGGAGGTCAAGTTGCACTCACTAAGAAGTCAATTTCAATACCGTCCTAGTATTTACCACTGTACCAAGTAATGAATATATCAGCTGAAATGGCTGAAAACAAAAACAGTTATGAATGGTGACATATGAAGTGAAACCAAATAAGCCTCAAAATTATTAACTACTGAAATGAGACAGTTCTCAGGCTCTCAGTCTGGTTCTGGATTATAATGTAAAGCTTCAAATTCAGGTATTGATGGCAGTAAAAGCAAAAAAGATTGGGACTCAGAACAGAGTTGATAAAATAATTCATGAGGTGTTATATACATATACATATCTATTTATTCAGCTTCCAAAAATCTTTCCAAAGTCTACATGTTTAATGTTTCTACAGTACTATAGTTATCAATATATTATAACTAAGGAGTATAAAAACCAAATCAATTCAGTGACTGAAGATACTGCAAAGTCGATGCTTCCTGTCTATACCTAGGCTGGAGGAAAAACTACTCTGGTAACTTGACTTGTTTCCTCTTTTTGAAGACTGCTTGTTTGGTACCTAGCCTTTTCCTTTTTTTTTTTTTTTTTTTTTAAAAAAAAAAAAAAGAAAAAAAAAAGAAAAAAATAGGCTTCACTAAAGAATGGCAGGATAGATGAGTCTTCAAATAGGTTCTCTCATTAGAAAACAATGAGCTTCCAGTTATTCTGGCAGTAACTTTCACTGATAATTATCTGGAAAGGACCGCTGGTGTTAGGAAAATTGAAATGAAAGGACCTAAGATTCAAGGGTATGAGGTCAGGTATGTGCTTGGTTGGATTTAATAGCTGACCTGGAACAACTAGAGTTTCCTGCATGAAAAAGTGCACTTTTGTTTGACAAATGCCTGGTTATATTCACACATAAAGAACTTATCTGTATTCATTAATATATACCTTGAAGTTGCCTTTATAGCATGATGAACCTTTCTTTTTACTGACATTTTGGAATTTAATTGCATTTTGAAAAGAACAATATGATGATAACTTGCAAATTATTTTAATGAAAAATATTTTGGCCTTAAATAAAGTCTGAGATTTGGAAAAGTTCGTATTGCACCTATTTTAATGTTACAAAGCACTGCATTTGTTTGTGGAGCTTGACTCAGTTTATTGAGTGATAAATTCAGCTTCTCATTGACCTGCATTTCTATATATGAAAATAACAGTGGAAAATTCAAAAGAGTGTCTAATTATCTGTGGGTAGGTACTATTTAACAAATGCTTCCATCTGCATGTCTAATAAGTACATATTTTATTACAATACAATATCACTCAGCAACCTCCAAATCAAAAATAGACCTATTTTTCCTGCTGTTACTGACAAATATTTTTTGGCAATTTTATGTACTTTTCCAGTTTTTATCCTGTTAACAGCAAGGAAATGAGGACTAAGGATAGAAACTATAGTATTTTTCATTGTTTTTTCTTGAAACAGAGCTCATGTACCAAAGTTGATTCCATGAAATGTTAAAGCCATTTCATCTTGAGTTTACAGGCCAAAACAATAGCAAGAAATCTGCTAAAACATACAGTATCAGAAAAGCCAATGAGAAAAATTAAGTAAAAATCATTATAAAGACTATTTTTCATCCATTTAATCCAATATGAAACAACACAAATGTTATTATACCATTATGTAACACACTTTCTTTGTTGTAATAACTGTAATAATACTTTAAATCTCAAAACATATATATGACTTATATAACAGTAGGATCCAATTTTCTGACGTTCTCACAAATATATTTATTAACATTACCAAAATGCTTTCCAATTCAAGTTCACTTAAGACTAGTAATTATCAGAATTAGCTATTAAATAATCAGCATTAGTTTATCATTACAAGCAATAAGTAAACTGTAAGAATTGTGAACCAATAATGATAATATAAAAAATACAATGCAAGACGACAGATATTCTTTACAATCTATTAATTATTTTAAATTTTTGAATGATCATTATATATTTAGAATCTTAATTTGCACACAAATTCCCTCAATATTAAATGGGGGTATTATACTATTACTATTATAATTATTAAATATGGCACAACAAAAGCAGTCACACTTACTATTTATAATGGATCACTAGTGCCCCCTTCTGATACAAAGTAAGAGGAAATATCAAAGTTTTGCAGAGTATACTTCATGCTATGCTCTAATACCTAGAGATTTCTTCCAGTTAAGTGTTATTTTAAATGCAGGAAACCTATAAAGACACTAGTTATAAACTGACCAGCCTTGCATTCACAAGGCTAAGCACTTTCACATTGCAAAACATTATTGTAAAGAGGAGAAAAAAGATAAATATGAAAAATTAGGTAATGCACTACTAAAAATATATAAATAACCTTGTATTTTTGAGTCTGTCATCTTGCAGTATAACTTTTGGAATTAGTCTCAATTTATATCTGGCTTGGGTTTTTTTTTTTAAATAATAGAAGCACTTTATGTGTCTACATGTGAAAAAATAAACTGGAGCTACAATCCAGAATTAATCACGTTGAATGTCATATTGCCAGGTTTGTACGGAACTGGTGCTGAGGAGAATAAAGACACGCTCATCATTATAGCCCCTTCTCTTTGACTTAATATAAAGGGCAAAAGGCAGGATGACAGATGTAAAAGATATTGTCTGCAGCATTGATTGCACTACATCGATACTTTTTTTGCAGCTGCATCTTGATGCTGTTTTGTGGGCAAGCCGTGTGTTCATTCCTTGCATTATTTGATATTACTTACTCCTTATTTTAGATTATGATTATTTCCTAGTAATTACCAAACTGAGATCTTAATTAATGTATTATAATAGTAAGGAAATTGTGTCCTGAAAAAAAATAAAGTCTCTTCCTAATTTGAAAAACCATTTATTTTCTCATGAAGACACTAAAAAAGCATTTTTAAAATATTTTTGGTAACTTGATCTGGCCTCTTTTTGTTTGTTTAATATTTATATATACTTACACACTATATTGAAGTTCCAGGACCTTCTATAAAAATACCACAAACAAGTCAACAGCAGATTTCAGGGATAAAAAGAGGATCCTGGCACTTGTTTGGGAGCTGTTTGTGCAAAGCTAGTCCACAGTCCTTGAGATAACACCAGGAACAAATTACTGCTGTAATCAGAAGTGTTGACTTAAAACAGGATCTTAATAAGCTTGAAAGCTAGTATTTATTGAGGCTAAGCATATGTTTTGGCTGTGAAGTGCCTCTCTCAAATATTTTCATAGTAATTCTTTGGAGAAATAATGCTCTCTTTTAATTTGATGTTTCCTCTTTCTGCATCTGGGTCTGAACATATTCCCTCTCACCATAATCACTTCACACACAAATATCAAGAGATTCAGTTTTCTGACATAGCACACTAACTTCTGCTAACTCTTGCACTAAATATATTTGGAACTGTGCTTCGTGTCACAAATTTTAAGAGGCTGATTTCATGAAATATGGCAAAAACAGAAGCTATAGATTTCACTGACAACTGCAGATAAAAATTTGTATTTTTTTTGACAGAAATCAGAAAAATGTTAGTTATTTATCAAAATCTTGCCTTCTTCAATCAGAAATTTTAGCATCCCTATAGTTTAAAGCATATAAGTTCTCTGTCAAATCACATTTTTCAGGCAAATCAAAAGTATGAAATACATATGTTGCACACACACTCCTCAAATTCACCATTTTCATTTACTGGCTGTGTCTCCTTACTCATCATTACACTACAATTACAGAAAATGTAAAAGCTTTTAAAAAGAGGTATTTTAAATAAAAAATTCCAGTTTATAAATTTTCTCTGCAAAAAACAATTGCATCCAGAAACTGCCTTGCTTCATCTTCTTCATGAGCATTCCCACTTACATTTATAAATCAGCTCCAACATTTTTAAGACTACATGACTGACACATTTTGGAGCTTGGATATTTTTGTACTTAGCTAAGTACATCACTTCCATTACTCCAGAAAAGAGGATGCTGGTGGGGAGATACCATTTCAAGACAGAAAATATCATATTAACAGGCAACAGGTCACCAAGCTGTCTGAGCTTGTCAGCTGAGCCTGACCTTTGAATTGTCATGAAGTATGAGCACTAAAGGGAATAATTTTTTTGGAGTCAGAAGATGCAGAGGGAGCAATGCAGAGAGGAGCGTACCAATATATTGTGAGTTTTTTGTTTCAGTGACATACTGTCCTTACAGTCTTGCATGAGGCACAAGGCTGTAAATCAGATATATATCTGCCATTCACCTAACAAACAGTTATACCCGAAAAAATGCTGTGGCTTAGGGAAATAAGTATTTTAAAAAAATTAAATAGCCTAAGTTGAATTCAAGAAAACAGTGTAGATGAAATTGTGCCACAGTCATTCTTCTAAAGCAGGTTTTTAGTAGCTGTGTACAATTACAGAGAAAGACTCAAAATGTTGCATATTTCTTAAAAATATCGCTTTATGTTCTCTCTCTTGGCTGAACTTCCTAGTCTGTGGCACTGCAATTTTTAAGGCTAATTTTAAAACCGACTGAAAAAAAACAAACCTCTAACAGTGATTGCAGCAATTTGCCAAGAGTAAATGAAAATACAGTTGCAGTGGATAAAACTAGATGATAATACATTATTGCAAGGATCAGTGATCAGCATAGACTATTGTGAGAGACCATATGATAACCAATTAATCTTTTGTTTTTTCCAGTAAAACAATAGCATGGCAAACTTACATAACCTAAGTGTCTCTATTTATAACCACCATTTAATTTTGTTTTCTCTGGCAAAAAAAGCAAGAGTCCAAGCAGTAACATTTTTATAAAAAAAACATAAAAAAATAAAGAATCATATACCAAACAGAAAAGTCATTCAGAAATGGGCCTTCATAAACTCATCAAAAGGGCTTTGAGGTACAAGACAGCAAATGATTTTTATGCAGGAATAAGACTGCAGCAGGGAAAAAAAGATACCAGAGAGTAGGGTGCCATATCGGCATGTGTGTCACACACTGTGACCACAACACATCTGACAGAGCTCAGCACTCACACACAATGTAAATTTCAGCTGTGTAATTCATAGCTGCTTGACTGCAGAGGAGCTTGGAGTCCATGGATGACATGGGCATTCAGCACATGCCAGGCTCACTTCTGGTTTTACCATCACTGCTTTGGCTTCTCAGTGCCCATGCTGCAGGGAGAGATTAAGATCACAATCACCACGTGCTTAAAATTTGATTTGCACCTTATGTTCAGCAAGAACATTTTTAGTGAACCTTGACAGACCTACTTTCTACAGAAGATGCTTACATGTAATGGTTCATGCAATGTGTGGCTCATGTTGGTGAACCACAAAGGTGGAAAGAAAGAAAGAAAGGCAGATTTCTTGTAGAGTCTTACAAAACTAACAAGTAGTGGGACCTTCTCTGCCATCTAAACCTTATCCAGGCCCTTCCATTCTACTTCATCTGCTCCATAAATCACATGTGCAGCAGCAGCAGCAGCTCACCTGAGGCAATAGAGGTTTTATCCACCAGTATTTATCCAGCTGGAAGAAGTTGGTCCCAAAATGAGAGAAAGCTAAGGCAAAAAATTCCCCACAATCCCCAGGTCAGGGAAGCTAATGCAAATGAATATGAGTTTATATTATTCTGTCCCTGTTGTGCTGTCCCTGGTACAGTCTACACTGTGGCAATCAGTCCTTGTGCAATGCCTCCAAGTGGGAGTACGGATTTGCTTCGGCTGACCTCAGTAGAGTGTTCAGAGGAGTCAGAATTTGGTTATTTCTCCTTATCAGCCAACGTCTGACAGCAGGGCTCCATCCTCTCTTACCGTCTTTGTTCAAAACTGAATAGTTTTTTGGATTTTTTCACACAATGGCCTCAGCTCTCTCATACCTTCCTGTGCAAAGGGTCGTACACCTGGAAAGAAATTGGGAAAGGATGAAGGCTGGTTTAGCAAGCTAGGAAATGAATCAGTAACATAAGGAGAGAAAAGGAACAACTAATTTGTTTGGGAGAAAAGACTCCTTGTGTTGCCTTGGGCAAGCTTCAAGCTCAAATTCTTCTAGCTCTAAACCAAATACTTTCTGTGAATAGATCTCCTTCACAGAAGATCCCAAGTGCCTAGGGACAGCCACACACATACCAGTGCTTTGAGACTTCTGCAAATTATAATTGCAGCAGTTCACATGAAAATGGCATTCACTAGCCTGATTTTGGTACCTGTAATTCAAGCTATTTAGTTTTCACTGCACTCTTAAAGTCAGGGATTGTAAATAGGAAGATGCTGTAGCTGACTATGACTGTTTTCAGGAGGAGTTTTAGATTTTAGAGGGAAAACTAAGACCTAGATTCCTATACGGCCCGTTAGAGTTGAGTGTGCTTTACTAGAGTTTGTCCCCTTCTTAGAATCTTCACACTTTATGACAGACCACAAGGTTACAGCAGAAGAAAAAGCTCAGTGTAGCTTTTGAAGATGGATCTCTGTGCCTTGTGAACAGGAAAAACAAACGGCACTCAAGCTGCTGCACAGTAGATAATCACTCTTCATTATTCCAAACAAATTTTCTCAACACTATTCCCAAAACAAAAGAGAGGACTGCCTGAAAAGATATTGGGAACTTAAAATCTTTAGCTTGAAGAACTGTTGCAGACTGTGTATTGTTTTGCAGTTGGAAATGTGCAACTGACAGTAAAAATTTGTATGTGTCTGTGTATGTCTGCAGTGTGTGAAGTCTAGAGGGATTATTCCATGTTAATGAGAGCCAAGGAATTCCTCTAGCAACATCCTGTCTAAGTGAGAATCACATAATTTAATGCTGGCCAGTGGCAGTTTTAACTTACATGCCATTTTCAAAATTGTCCATTTTTTTCTACTCTTTGAGGAAAGAAAAGCTGTAACTGTACTCAGCTTTGCTAGCCCCTTCTATTTTGCATGTCCACTAACCATTCTACAAAACAGACTTGTACACTTAAATCCTGCAAGTGGAGCACATGCTATTTCCTTAATGAAAAAGTACTGATTTTGCTGAATGAAACTGGTAATACTACACAAGTCTTCCCCCAAGTCTATTAAATGAAACTCCTGTCTATGCAGTCTGTAAATCACAGCAGATCATGCTCCTAGAGTCTGTTCTTCCTCTTCTCTGACTCCCTTCTGGGTTATTTTTCTGTAAAGCAGTGGAAAGGGACGTCTTTCAATGAAGAGCAGTTGTTCTTTTCGTTAATTTCTTTGTTTTAGTGTCCCTAGCCAATGGAAAATGTAATAAGTCTCCCAGTTTATTTTCTAAAATCTGTAAATAAATACAGACTAAAATATAGGACCTTTCTGTCTGCTGGACTCAAATCTGTGAGAATTTCTTAAATTCTTAAATGAAAGCCTATAATCCATAGCACTTTATAATAACTTAATTCACAATTCCTGCCATTTTTCAAAACAATTGCTTAACAGTAACTCATCGAGTGTCCAAAACTGAAGCTGAAAAACAGCTAGCTCTGATTTGTTGACAAACTGCACAAAGCTCTTGTTTTAGGCAATTTTTTCAGCTTGAACATTGCTTCAGAATTCCCCATCTAGGCTAGACATGGATATAATGCAAGGCTACAATCTTTACACAGTAAAATGTCACAGAGAACATCTGTATAAGAAAACATAAACTGCAAAACAAAACTCAAGATTTTTTTTTACTACAGCTTTAATTGGATTAAAAATATTTTTCACTATACCAGTACAAATTAATCCATTTTATAGTATTGCTGTTAGAAGGGGAAATGTGGTATTAATGATACAGATTAACAATTCACCATCTTTCCACCCCTAAACTTCTTGCCATACCAAGCACTGAAAAGAAAAGGTATAGAAAACTGCCATAGTGTCTCTATTCAGCAGGTAATTAACAGAAGCAGGTAATTAACAGGAAGATGGGGCCTCCACAGAATTCCAGGAAAGCTACCCAATAATAAAAATTAAGATTCTATGCAGATAAATGCTTCTTTCTTTATTTGGCCCTTGATGAACGCATGTACAAAATCCATAACTGTTGTGGCTTACAAAAGAACTGAGGAAAGGCCAAAAAATATTTCCTGCAAAGATTTTAAGGTAGCATTAGGTAAGACTCTTTTTAAAATAGTACCATTAAAGGTTGGCTGGAGATTACAGTAGCAAAGATCCAAAAAAGCCCATCCAAGACAGTATTTTGTTTAAAATTATAAAATCTCTATAGAATGATTCAGAAGTAGTGGGGCCTTTTTTTTAGTTCCTGTACAATAATTTAAATATGAAGCAAACCCTCAACAATTCGTATTAACATCCATTTCTTTTATTCTCAAAGTAATCTTAGTAGGTGGAGGGAGGGAGGGAGAAGCAAACGTTTTAAGCATTTTCTAGCTTGATGTGGGGGTGGAAAAAGAAGCTTGTAGAATCTGATAGTGACTGCCCCTCGAAAACAATAATTAGCTTGAGAAAAGCACAGCAGTTTCAGCTGTCAAAAGGCACGAAATCCCAGTGTCACCAGTTTGATCAGCTCATTGATAGGATATGCAAAGACCTGTTCAGAAATGAAGGAGGAGCAGTGATAGGGATCAGCATGTTTGTACCGTGTCAATTTTAGGCAGTGAAAAAATATGATGATTGTCAAATTTGAAAAAGTAAAAATGTATCCCAGAAACAGTGAATTACAATTCTAAGGATGATGTCTTAGCTAAGATTTGCCTTTCACTTTTCTGAAAGAGTAAACAAAATACATGCTAAAAAAAATTCATAAGCAAAAGAAAAGGAGAAAAAAAGCAGGACAAAAGTCTTTGTAAACTGATCTCACTTGCTTCTTGGACATAAAAATATTCATAACTATGCAAAAGAAATTTTCCTTTAAGTTACTAATAGAGGAAAAAAAACCAAGAATATTCCGACACATCTTTTTATTATTTTTATTTACTGGCTAGCTTTTCTGGTGCCTTATAAATCAAGAAAGTCACAGTTTCTGCCACAGCAAGTTTGTCACCTTTGCTAAAAAATACCCTGTAGAGAGACCACATATTCACTCAGGTTGAAGGTCAAAACTTCAGGTTTTGTTTGTGTCTTTTGCAGAAAAGCACATTTTTCCTAGTCAGCCTGTTTCAATTGGGAGCAGTGCATTTGTAAAATGGTTGGCTAAAGACTAGAAGCTCTTTGTGCAGGGTTCATCGTTTGCTGTATTTTTCCAGCATGCTCAGCACGCCAGAGACCTGGCCTCCTGGGTTATGGCTAACCACGGACAGTGCAATGCAATAAATATTTGGAAAATAAAACCTGGGTGGGAACATGCTAAGGGGATTGCAGAAAATAACTCTCCTGCTACCTTCCTACAGCCTCTGTGAATCCACAAACACACAGACATACACAAATAAAATCTGATGTATAAATCAGAGCATCCTCAGCTGCTGGAAAACCATTATCAATATTCTTACTTTGGGAAATGAACCCTCCAGAAGCAACCTATACCAGCAGTTCCTACCAGTCTGTCATTTCTGCATTTTAGGGGGAAGAAAAAAACCCCAAAACTTTATTGTCATATTGGAAGAGGGAAAGGGGGTTCCTGGCTTTCTTTGCATGGGCGTGAATGAACAGGAGCAATCATAACAGCAATAACCCTGCAACTGCAGCTGTCTTACTCTAATCTGCTTTAGGTACAGCACTCACGACAGCGTACAGAATTTAAAAGGCCACAGGCCCAGCTATGCACAGAAACCTATGTACACAGGGTGATGCTTTGATTGTATGCAACCAGCACTTTAGGGATGCTTAAAAACTTTGTTTCTACAGAGCCGAAACCAGAACTCTCTTTTCTGAGAATCAAAAGCATTTGCCGTTTCTGTTTCCACACAAAAAATAAAAAAAATAAAAAATAATAAAAAAAAAATATACAGATGCAACACAGATAATAAAACTGATCAAATGGTACTTCTTGATCAAAAAGGAACGTAAATTCAAGAACCATGCCATTTAGGAGACTCCATGCTTTCTGCATCGAATCAGGTGAAGCTGTTGAACTACTATTTTCCTGACACAAACAAAATTTTAAAATGTCGAAAAAGAAACCACACTGGATATTTTCTAGTGATTTTTGCATGTATCTCTGAGGAACACACATATAACTTTCTTAGCACAATTTTAAAACATGCTTAAAACTTTGCTTCCAAACATAAATATTGCAGGGAGTGACTGAATTTAAGAAAAAAGTGCTCACTCGTAGAAAACTAAACGTATACTTTTTGTGAAAAACAGATATAATCCTGACCTTTCCTCTGTCAGTTGGATTTTTGTCAAAATACAAGTAGATTAAAACACAAGATATTTCTACAATAACTCTCCTACACATGAATTTTCCTTTCCATATCTAGTACCAAACACACAATCTATGAACAAATAAATAGATAAATAAGTTCTTAACTGTTTGGGTTTGGGTTTTTGTTTTTTTTTCCCTTAAATGAAAAACAAAAAGTGATATTTTTAATTCTGATATAGACTATTTCAATTGCAGAACCTCTTGTGCTTCAAGCCTGGTGCATTAAGTGAAATGTTATTCACTTAAATTACAGAATCTCTGGAAAGGCATGAAATCGTTCCAATGGAAATCTTAATTATTAAGAAAACCCAGATTGGAATTATTTTTAGCTAATTGGAGAAGAAAATACTTTTAAAACCTCCATATTTGAGAAGGTGCATCTATAATATTCCTGCAATGTCTCTTGGTTTTGGAACGTAGCATATTATTCAGCCCTAGTCCTTTGATGTGTGTTTTTCCCTCAATCCATGCTCCAACAATTCTGTCATACAGAGAACTGAAAATTAAGTTATTCTCACCAGCAATACTCCCCCACAAAGAATCTATCAAACCACAGATATAAACCTCAGAACAATCCCTGCCAGGTTTCTCATGCAAATGACGCAGAAAAACTTACAAGAGCACTTTAAGATATTGAGAACCCTTCAATACAACCCAGTATAATAACTTTTACTTGCTAATTTCTATGGGTCAGTTGCAAAGGAATAGACCTGTCAATCTTTTTCAGATGTAGCAGAATTTGTCTGTCTGCAAACAGGGATGCTTTGTTGTTGCCATAGATACTAATCCTCCACTTTCCTTCTGTTGACACAGCTAGTCACACTCTAAACTACCTGATCACACTTTTAATAGGCAGCTGACTCCAGTACCATAAAATGCTCAAATCAAGTTCACAACACTTGACGCATCCACTGTTGCATTAAGAAAAAAAAAACCAAAAAAAAAAAACTAAAAAAAAAAACCCAAAAATTGTAATAAAGTGTTGTTTAAGGATAATTCAAATACTTGTCAAAAAAAAGTAGATTGTGTAGAAATAGTGCCTGTCTAACAATGTCTTTGCTCGAATTTCAACTTAATTATATTATTCTAAGTGAATTGCTATAATAGAGAAAACATTATTTTGAAACTGCTTTTTTTTTATAACTCAGATACATGTTTCCCTTAAGCACTAATTGATTAAGCATGCAAAATAGTGTAACAGATAGACAAGAGGTAATTTTTGCTTCTTTTCACAGAATTCAGTACATTATATCATTTTCAAAGTTTAAAACCTGACAAGAAAACAAATGTGGAAGTGACTCACACCCCACAATACAGCTATGTTCTGAAAAAGAAAACTTTCATTTGTACGACTTCAAAGTTTGTGATTTTTAATAAATATTCAAAAATTAAATTTGCTTCAAATCTATTCATACCTTTTTGGCTTGCAAATCAAATAATCAGAAGTAAGCTTTTTCCTCTGTAAAAAAGGAAAAGTTCAATACATTTTCCTTTATCTGGTTTCAGATAAGTTTACAAGTTTTCCTTTCATTATTCATTGCTTAACTCAAAGTTGAAAGGGATAAAAACAACAAAATGAAAGTACATTAAAATGAACTATTTAAGTTAAATGAACTTTTTGCTTCTAAAATGAAAGTATTAATTTTTTTGTAATGGCATTATTTTGATGTTTATGATATCAAGTTCTTTTGCATGTTGGCAGTAAAATGTCTCTACTTCCATTCTTCAAGTTGTCTTCAGCTGTCTTCAATCCTAAACTGCTAATTCTCTTCCCAGTTCCTTCCAATACAGAATAAAAATTCTAAAGGTAATTTTCCAAAGCTATTTTGCCCTCCTTTTTCATATATTAGAAAAAGTTTGTTGTGACTCCTTCAATTAATAAGAAAAATTTATGTGTATCATTAATTACATCAGTAGAAATCATAAATCATCAGTGAACGGTGCAATTAATTATCTTAAAGTCATGTGAAGACAAATGACAGGCAGATAAATCCTCAGACCCTTCAGATCAGAGTGAAATGGGAGAGAAAAATGGAAAAGAAGGGATGCAACAAAATCAGCAACAGTTTATGAATTAGTATACATGAACTGTTTTCCTATTTTATCAAGGTTTATAAAGAGATTGCAGCAAAACTAACACAATAATAAAAGTCATGACTGTGTCTATTACAGGCCTAAATTTTCAAGGTTGCATATTTTCGTTTTCACTATTCATAAACAGACTAAAAAGCATTATTTTATACTGCATTTGCTTTATATTATTCTTTCTTTTGGAGAAGTGTAGCACAAATGCCAGAAAGATCAAGCACCTTTTTTAAAAGTATTTTGCCATCTTTACTGCTACAATGTCAGTGACATGATCTTCTAACCAACTTTTCTTCTGCTGAAAAAATTGATAGTGTGACTAAAAAATAGTAATTTTCTGCATGCATATTAGTCATATATGAATGACACAACCTACTAATTTAACTCTATTAATCTTTTTCTCAAATATTTGCACCAGGAAAGGTGGCTCAAAACACCCAGGAAAACACAGAAGAACAGCATAAGTACTGCACAGCTCAAAACACAGACTTTTCTTGAAAACTGAGGCAAATAGACAGGCTTAGAGGTCTCTTGAAATTTAACAAAAGTTGCTATTCTTGCAATCCAAAGTAGGTATTTTTCACAGTATTGCTGCGTACACAAAGGTGTGCAAACTGTTATAAGGAGAGAGAAAAGAGGGAGGGAGGATGGAAGGGAAAGGCAGGGAAAGGAATGGGAGGGAGGGAGGGTGTAGATAACAGTAGATACCAATTCTGTAGGTGCCCATACATACTTACATGTCTCTAGCAGCTCACACTGTTCTAACTTCCTCTCTTTGTTGCAGTCAGAGGGCTTAGGACAGAGCCACCAATACCTACATTATAAAATTTTTCAAGTTCAGAATTTAAACACAGTTTTTCCAGTTAATTAAATAGACATACAGTATAAAGATTACCAAATTATTTACAAAATATTAAGGTATTCACAGTTTTCATGTGCACTGACACTTAGCACTTTTCCAATTTTCTTCCATCCACAGGGTATGCACAGGGAATACTAGAGTGAACATGTGTACATGTATGTGTATGAACACATAACACAAGTCAGCATCATTGTATTTTGTACTAGAGGAGAAGAACACACAGCAGAATCAAAACTTTTGCTTTTGGCCTTAATACTTTTAGAGCATGCAGGCTTTCAGGCTGCAGAATTGATATACAGCTGTGAAGAACACCTGTTTTAAATCACTACACAGGACACCATGCAAAGAGGGGTCTGCAAAGAGAGAGGGTGAGTTCTGGGACTTTAAGCTATTCTTATCTCACAGGCACATGAATTTTATAAACTTTTTCTTTAGTTAGGCCAGCTAGTGAAAGAAAAACATGTCTGTTATCATTGCCCATCTTTTACCTGCACAATTAAGGCCAGGGTTTTTAAATCCCTTATTTGTTCTAAAATTCAGTTGTGCAACGTCACAATCAAAATGTCAGCAGCCACTTAAATTTTATTCAGAAAAATGTTCCTACTTTGGTTTCAGTAACAGACCTAAGAATGAGACAAGAAAGTGAGCCATTTGCTAAAGAATCTTTACGAAAAGCAAGGTTTTCTGTTTAAGTCTCACACCAGTGAGAGCACTTGGCATTTATTCTTGTCAGCATCAACAACATTATGATTTTTTGTATAGTATTGAACTTATCATTGTGCACAGAGACACAAAACTTTTACCTTCAGATGAAGAAGAAGACACATTTATCATTAGCTTTTCCGAAGACATAGGGAGTCATAGCATTTCCCTTGACCTTAAAAAAAGCCATTCATTTACAGTACTGTTCTTCTTTTTTCTGGAAAGAGAGCTGTTTTTGCTATCCATGTGATAAGTGGTACACACTAAACTAAATCATAAGCAGGCCAATTAGGATCAGTCATGGGTTTTGGGTGTCAGTTACAAATGATAATCTTTTACATTCAGCTGTACCTGAATACTCCATTCCTTGAATAATTCCAAGAGAAAATGAATAGACTTACCCACTGAATAAACTATGTGTTAAACACAAAGTTAAACAGTGGGAAATTTGCTTTATATTTCAGTTGGAAATAATGTCTCCATTGTGTTCTTTTCCCATATAAGCTTGTTTGTTGTGCTGTTCCTTCACTGAAGCAGCACAAGAAAATGAAGATGTGAGGTTGTCTGTAAAGCCAGTTTTACCCATGAAGGTCAAGAGCAACACTAAAGGCAAAATACTAAAAATACGTTAAATTATCAGAATCTTTTTCCAATCCAATGCCAGTTGGAACCATTTCCCCAAACATAATACATTACTGGAATATACCTTGTTTTCTTTTTCTTCATTTCTGTTTCACTGGTAAAGATGACCTATCACAGATCCATTTCCCACTGTTTCCAACCCTTTTTCGTCCAGGCTGCACATTGCAACTTCCCAGTTTCAACAAAAGAAAGGATTTACAGATCAAGGAATATTGATTTTATTACAAAGTCAATGCCATATATCCTAAGTGGGCATCAAACAACAGAGGTTAATTTACAGTCATGTACAGGAGACAATTAAGGACAAACCTTTCTGCCAGAACTGCTGTTCAAAAACAGAAAATGGGCTGAATAGACCAAAACCAACTTAACAAGACTGCCAGATTAACTACTGCTGAAAAATGGAGACCTGATCCATCAAAAAGTAACACAAATACAACAGGCTTTCTATTTATATTCACTTTACTTTATGTCAATTCAGTGTTTTCCCTATCAATTTTTTCTCAAAGGCATCTCACTGCAGCACATAACCTATTTTCCTAAGTTCTGCATGTTTTGCTTGGTTGTAAAGTAACTACCTTGAACAGATCTAATTGTCATAGAGACTCTAAAGTCATTATAGGTCTTTATCCATTTAATTAAATTCTAAAAAAGATTTGTGAGGTTACTTCCTAAAACAGAATTCATTACACTCTTCATGTTTCTTCAGTGACACTTTGTGTATCACAGTGGCCCTTGATCATGGTATAGATTTTCAATCGTATATTGCAGATTTATTTGTATTTATTTCTGTTCTGATGTAAAGAATTGTTTTAAATATGTTGAGTCTTTAAAAATGCAGTACTACTAGTAGTAGCCTGTTCACTTTTTTCCAAAAAAAGTTTTTTCTCCATTTCCAAAAATGGAGATACGCCACAAAATTGAAGAAGACTTCTTTGCTCCTGGATAGAAAAAGAGAGACTGAAGGGAGAAAGAGTGCATGAGGGGATTCTCATTGTTCTTTTGGTTCTTTGTACTTTCAAAAAATATAGGTTTTTTTACCAAAAATATTACAGAACTATACTGTGCTGCTAATAAATAATAGTCTCTTTGTCTGTTCAAGGAATCTTCGTTTATCGCTCTTAGTCCTCCTGAGCAATATTTTATTTCAAAATTAGAGAAGTATTTTTGCTGTGTTAGTAAATGGCAAATAAGAATTTGTTTCATTTATTAACTGCATTTAGAAGTCTGTTGACAGATTTTTAAATGTGGAAATTTTCAGCTTTTATCACAATCATCTCCCATTCAAAAATAAATCAAAATTATTAATATATAAAATTTCATGATAGGTGAGATTTCAAAGACTAATCCCTGGGAAAAACAAAACTTTATTAAAAAATCATTTACCCAATTCTACTAGGTTTTGGGGTGGGAAGAGTAATACAAAGGATGAGTGTGATGGTAAAGTCTGGAAAGTTACTTAAAGGCTTTTCAAACCTACTTTAGACCTGGCTATGAATATGCTATGAATCCATTGTTCAAGAAAGATATTCTTCCTGACAAAATAAGTGAAATCTGTGTTGATTGACAGCTATGACAAAAAGTTCTGCTTGGCATCTGTGGAACTAGGATTTTTCTATAGGGATCTGCCCAGCTTCTTATTTCCTATCAGTTCAAGAAAGAATTTGCCTTATAGTTAATTGCTTTGGCATGAAATGGAGTGGTATTTACCCCCAGAAAGGATCTGCATTAATCATATTTGGCTGGATGTGAAGAAGACATTCACCTACACTACGAACACTGTCATGTAAAATAACAAAATACTTTTGTACCCTTAGATTACTATTATCTCTGTGGTCATGAGACAACTTGCCCAAACAATTTTGATGAAATATCATGAGCATGAATTAATGACTTTTCATTAATGTCACAAAATGCGGGGTTATCCTGTTTATGGGCAGTAGTGAGACAGATGTTTAAGCTAGTAAACTAACTAAATATGACAATCAGATAAAGACAATATCAATGAATTAAAGATTTTAGCTATAAGAGATTTTTCTTTCACACTGTAAAACACTTTGCACTGATTACTTTATAACATAAAATTGTTACACCTATGGAGATGCATCTTACTGAAGCTGTTTATATGTGTGGCATATTTCACGTTTGGAGCACACCTGACTCAATAAGGTAGAAATTTGTCCTTTCTGTGCCTGCCTAGGGGCACCTGAATCACAACAGCAGTGTCTGACTACCCATAATGAACAGATTAATTTACAGCATGTAGCATTTGAAAGGGTAAATGCCTATATGGATGTTTTTGTAAGCAAGCTACTCCCTCTGTCTGCATACGTTCATTGGCATTGGCTAATAGCCTCAAAATTTAATATTGTTTCTGTGTGAGTAAACAGCATTCCTGACTAGCAGTTTAACATCTGAGGATATACCAGAACTATCGCTCCTCCCACTGACAAAAATAATGTCTGAAAAGCAAAGGCAGTTTTATTTTCCAGAAAAAAAGACTGAGTCAGTACTTTTAAAAGGTTATTTGTGGTGGTGGCATGTGGTGAATCAATAAATTCTTTTACTGCTGTATTTGTAGATATTAATTTTTGTATAAAAAGTAGAGCTCTGATTGGCATGCAGACAATCTTTAACAGTATTTCTCCTGACTGTAATAAACTTCCAGATTACTTTATCTGCCTTTAATACCTGTTACTCTGTAGAAATATGCATGTATGTACAAACATTAACAGCTTTACAGTGAAGCAAGGATTAAAGAGGCTTTATCCTTTTATCTTTTTCATTATTATCAGCCACATGGTATGAGCTCCTGTATTACATGAGAAAAAACATCCCCTGCATTTAGATTATGGTAGTGTACTCTTGTTATGTGTGCCTAGAGATATATTAAATAAACATAGTCCTGTTTATTAGTTCTTTATGTATGATTAATATCATAACTGGAAAAAAAAATAAATAAAACCCTGTTTTATAAAGTTTGGCTGACAGCACATCCATACAGTTACATGCAAAATATTTGCTGCATAGCTGGAGATCACCTCAGACGAGGAATAGCTTTTCCACATAAGCTTAATAAACAGGCAGGTCAAGAAAGGTATGAAAACAATGTCCACACTGTGAAACTCCCTTTGGGTGCATAAAGGAGAGCATTGTATAGTCTGGAGAGACACCACTTCAAGGTTCAGAGTTAGGTTAAATTAGCTGAAGGCCACTAAATAGCTTTGGGTGTATTTTTTACTTTCTTTTTTCACCACTTGCATGAAGGTAAAATGGTCTTAGAAAAAAGGAATAAGTTGGACTCAGGCTTTTTTTGTTTTTCAAATGTGATCTGGGCCACAGAAAAAAAAAAAAAATGCAAGACAAACAATAACAGAGACCCAAAACAAAACGAAACGTTTGTGCTGCAGTTCCACAGATGAGGTGAAGTCCTTCCTGCTGCTGGGAAAAAACAGTTGCACAGTCACACAATGGATCTACATTATACAAGATCTCTACAAAGTCCTAAGTAGCACGCTGCTAAGATAAAATTGATGGGTATTCTTCTCCAGAAATCTTCTATCCTTTCTACTAATAAAGCTTCTTACAAGTTTTCGTAACATATTTTATTG